AAAAAAAAAAAAAAAAAAAAAAAAAAAAGAGCATTGTTTCCCACACATTCCTTGAGAGGTGAAAAGGCAATGCCCGCAAGAAGTGCTGTGAGCTTTGTTACATCCAGGGAGCTTTGCATCTGCCCAGCCTGTGAGCCTGAGCTGTGAGAGACTCACAGAAGGAGCTGGAGAGATAGACAGCTCAGTGTGCTGCAGTGTGCGGATCCTGCAGAGGACTCATGATCAGCTCCCAGCTTACAACTGCCTGTAAATCCAACTCCAGGAAGAGTCCTACCTCTCCATGCCTCCGGCCCCCCACACAGGCACAAAACAAACAAACAACAACAACACAGAAAGTCAGCTGCCTAAACAAGCGTCTCACCCTAGTTTGTTTTTCCATTTCCGGATGGCCTAGTGACCATCAAATCTGGCAGCCCCCGCACATCTGGACCTGCAGTTCATCTCAGGAGTCTGGACTATGGACTCTTCCTTTTTATCATAGTGTCTGCTTCTTACCTATCCAATGCGAATGCATTAAAAAAAAAAAAAAGCTTGGTGGTATTCAGCAAGAGACAGAAATAAGAGAAAGCTTTGGAAGAGGAATTAAAAGTCCTTCTAACATGCCGGACAGTGGTGGTGCACACCTTTAATCCCAGCAGTTGGGAGGCAGAGGCAGGTGGATTTCTGAGTTCGAGGCCAGCCTGGTCTACAGAGTGAGTTCCAGGACAGCCAGGGATACAGAGAAACCCTGTCTCGAAAAACCAAAAAAAAAAAAAAAAAAAAAAAAGAATATTGAATAAAGGGTTCATCTCTCCACTGATACCAGTGGAAATTCTCAGCCACTATAAAATCAGTACCCTATAAACCAGTTACAAGACCTATGCACTCAAAGGAACCTAGTGCAGTCAAGATGGCTTGCCACGTAGAACTGCTGAGAGAGCCTGGCTTTGCCAAGACACAAACACATAACTAAATGTAATGAAAATAAGAAAGAAAAACTAAATCAAGAGAGATGCCTGCACATCATCCACATTTCTTGTGGCTCTGTGTCACAGGCAGCAAGGTATAAGGCAGCAGCCTGGTGCTCCTGCTCAACGGAGGCATGAAAAAGATACAGTATTCAGCCGGGCGATGGTGGCACACGCCTTTAATCCCAGCACTTGGGAGACAGAGGCAGGTGGATTTCCGAGTTCGAGGCCAACCTGGTCTACAGAATGAGTTCCAGGACAGCCAGGGCTACACAGAGAAATCCTGTCTCGAAAAACGAGAGAGAGAGAGAGAGAGAGAGAGAGAGAGAGAGAGAGAGAGAGAGAGAGAGGAGAGATACAGTATTCATACTTAGTGGGAGTTTTAGTCAGCCCTAGAAGACTGACTGTATATTTGCTGAGTTTCATTGAGTCTGTCATGGATGCCTGGAACTTAAACACAATACTCCAACATGAGTGTTTCTGTATCTATGAAACATATAATCTCTGATATTCAAAATATTTCACCATAGGCCATTATTAACGTTTGAATGGCCTCAAAGTCTGGGTAACCTACCCACCCTCTCCCTCCAATTGCTGGGGTCACAGGCCTGTGAGGGCATCCTGAACACAGAAACCAATAACTAGAAAAACATAGCCATACTCAATAGGGCAACTCTCAGTCACCCCTACTGGGTGCGCACAGCCAACAGTGGGAGCAGGATTCAAAACCCAGCCTGAGCTAGTCTGTGTTGAGACAGAGCCAAGGATACCTAACTCAGCGGCACTAGCTCCATAAATCAGACTTTATATTTATATGCTGAGGGCTCAGCATACTTGCCAGGCTGCCCCACCTCACCCCCTCACCTCAAGATTGTATTATGTGGCCCAGTGCTGACATTAGAGTTGAATCAGGTGACTGGGCTATTTATTTTACTTCCCAGAGCTGGGAGGGAACCCTGGATTTCCACCGCTAAGACACACTTAATTCTCCTTTTAAATATGCTCTAAGCATTCCTCAGGATTTTATCTTTTGACAAGTCTTGTCCTAACACTTCCTCCCTCACCCCCCGCCCATGGCATTCTCCAGCAGGATGAAAGATAACCTTAGGGTTCCTTGAAATTCCACCCTGAAAGTCATCGGGTAACTGGTGCAGAAACCTGAAAGTACAAGGAACCTGAAAGGTTTGGTCTTTCCATGCACTCCCCTGTACTTCCTGTACAATACGGTCACCAGCCAGTTCTACCAATGTTCCCTTAAAGGAGCTACTGGGACCCTTTTCATTCTTGCTTTCTAAGAACGGAAGCTCCACAAAATAGAGATTAACACACAAGCCCTGGGTCAGATGGCTGATGAATCCCCAACAGAAAAAAACAGTGTTTTCTGAAGCTCCAGGTTCTCCCTTGCTCCTTCGAACAGGCTATGTGTTCAAGTCTTTTCAGTATTGAGGACTGAGGTAAATCCCAGTCCAGCCAGCATAATGCGGACGGAGGCAAGAGAGTACCAGGGGTTTAAGGCTTTCCCAAGATATATAATAAAATCATGACACAAAAATTCAAAGCAAAACACAACAAACCCTCAGGGCACAAAATTGTGGTCCCTCACTGCAGAGACAAAGAGAAGAGGGTAGCTACAAGCCGAAGGTCAGCCTGGTCCCCATAGACAATTCCAGACCAGCAGGGGCTATTCCACCTGATCATCCCTCAAAAAAAACAAAGAAAAAGGCAGAGTGACAAAGGCGTGCTGAGAAGAAACACCTGGAATTCATTCAAATCGCATTCTAGATCAATATAGTCAAATAGGATTTCAACATGTAATCAATTAAAAAAAAAACAGATTTTACCTGAGAATGGACTCAGCTAACTCCACACACAAATGAGGACCCTGGTGAACTGCTGAGGTGATAGGTTTTCTTGAGGACAAAAATAAACCAATTCACGCCAAATTAAAGTCTAAAGGGGACAGCACTCAGATGAGTTCACAGGGCCCAAAGAACTTGTCCAGGAAATCACCATGCAGACAAGGAGACAGAGGAGAGGAGGAAGAAAAAGATCACAAGAATGCAAGGAGAGAGAGAGAGAGAGAGAGAGAGAGAGAGAGAGAGAGAGAGAGAGAGA